TGGTTTACTAGACTAAATTTTGAGATAAATGCGATTTTTGCAAAGCGAACGTTTGTTTTGAATTTCTTCACGTTACATCTTTGATTGGTTGATAGACGTCGGAAAATCATGTGACAGTAAAATCGATCCTAGTCGTATGAGGTAATGAGAAAGTCTAGAAAATTTAAGTATGAGGTAATGAATTAGTGTTCTAGTATATGAGCATTTGATACGGTGCATAGAAAAAATAGTCTTTTTCTTCTGCGAACCCGACATTCGTTCTGGTTATATCGACCCTCCCTCCCTACCCAGTGAGTTTCTCCGAAAATGGTCTGTCGGGACGACAGCCATATAACTCAGGCTAATGAGTTTATTTAAGATTTGACCTGTCGAGACGACAGTCTTTTGTACTAATTAACAATGCATTCGATGGCCTGTCGGGACGACAGTCTTTTGTTCTAATTGCCAAAGCATTCTATGGCCTGTCGGGACGACAGCCTGAGAGAGAGTAAAAAAAAAAAAAAAACAAAAAAAAAAAAAAGTGTTACACAACGCTAGATAACTGCGTGGGTTGCTCGATTGGCAGGAGAAAACACCCGTAGTTAGTCTCCAAAATGAGAGACTAATAAATACGTATTGAGTAATTTCTAAAAGCCATTGTGTGAACAAAGTATATATTACTTTTTATGATTTTACATTGCCACATATTTGGCCTTTTCATAAGGTTCACTAAAATAAAGACATGCACATAAAATTCATGTGTGTTTAAAATATGCGTACATACTTGATCGAACCGTAATAGAAGCGTCATCCATCTGCGTTAACAACTGTGTTGAGACTGAACTTTAAATAAAAAAAAAACTTTTGAGAAAGCCTCATCGACTTTATTTAAAAAACTAATCATATTATTTTAATAAAAAGCCATGTTTGAAGTGTTTGAAAAAACATTTATATCCTTCGCTTTCATATTTATTTTATTCGTATCTAATGTACATTTTGGTGATTATTCATATAGTAATATTTTAAAAAGTGATCAAAATAATACTATCCAAGGTCTTTCATGTCAAACAGATTTTGAGTGTAATAGTCAATTAACTAATTCTTCAAATAACCCTTTTGTATTTGGTAATTATTTATGTGCGCAAAATAGGTGTAAATTTGTTGTTGGTGAGTTTTTTTTTTTTATTAAAAAAAAAATCTCATTTTCGATTCTGAATACAGCTTCTGTTATCATTAATATGCTAAATTGTACTTATTCTTGACACCTAACTTGTTCTTTTTGTTCTCTTCAAAGGCCAACCATGTCATGATGTATCGGATTGTTCTGCCTACTACTATTATAATAATGCTTCCCAAAAATTACCTAATGATATTGGCTTTCTCTGTGCGGCAAGCAATGAAAAACTCGACTTCGGGTGTGATAATGTGTAGAAAAATTCTGCGTATTTACTTAATTTCACTTTGGAAGGTTCTTAAAAATTTTGCGGCGGTATACCACTGAATGAAAATTGCTCTTTGGTGGCCACGAATGTTGATCCATGTGATCATTCTCTACAGTGTGTTAATTCGACAGATAATGTGATGAGATGTTGGAATATCAATAGTTCCAAATCTAACTCGGAGTTTTCATATGCTTGGCTGGAAATATCATATTGAATATTGGTTTGAATGTACAAAAATTTGCATTTACAAAATTTCAAGAGAAAATTGGTAAAACTCAAGAAACGGAAGATACCAACTTCACGCTAACTAGGTCAGTATCACCTCACAGATAGTATAAGAAGTTTGAAAAGCTCATGTTTTGAAAACAGATTGTGGTGTCGCCGGTACATTTTCCAATTTATTTATATTCATATTCCTTATTATTATTTCGTTCCTAAATTTCAATTTACCTTTTGAAATAGCTCTGAGTAATGGGGCTATTCACCTATATAGGCGCGTTAAAATTCGCTCCTCAATCTTTGGGAGCTATCTCATTAATAACAAATTAATTAATTGCACCCATACTTAAACAAAAGTTAGTCCGTTCAGATATTATTGGTGTTATAATTATTATAGGTGGAAGTG